TTGTGTATTATTGTACATTTTGACCTGCAATGACCTTGTGTTTGATTTACAATTTTAGAAATTATTTCTTGATTTGATGTTTCAATTTTCGTTGCTCATATTTAATTATGTTTTTCTGTTTCATATTATTCTTTCCACCATTTTTACATTGTTAATGATTGTACAGCACCTTGTGAATATATTTCTGTGAAAGACGCTTTATAAATAAAACTTTACTTACTTATTTACTAAATAAGCTGTTTGACAATGTGAGCAGCCCACATCCTGAGCTCTACAGCTCCTAACACGTATGCATATTCCTTACAAATGTGGCTCCATTTAAAGAGAAACGAACAGACGTTCCAACAATCTAAGATTCACTGAAGCATCGTTACAACAAGTAAATCATCTACCAAACACTAACCTTTGTGCTGAGCTTATACTGAGACAGACTGGAGYGGTAGTAGCTGAGAGTTATCTCTACAGGTCATCAAATCAACAACAAATGCTTCTGTTTTTAATCAGCAGGATGATTTTCTGACCCGTCTGCTGTTAAACTGGAGATGAGCTCAGCTGCTGAAAGCTTCAGGTGAAGCATGATGGACGTGAGGCTGAGGAGGGATGAAGAGCTWCTTTCTGACGGGTGAAAGCTGCAGCTGCAGGGAACACACACCCAGGGTTCTGCARAAACATTCAGAACTTTCTCCTCAGCCTGAAGCTCCTCATTCACAGCTCCTGTGGAGCCTGCAGCTGTGGATTATCTGTCTCAACAGATTTGCTTCAGAAAAATGAAAGGAGCTGGATAAGAGCGTTATCGGACCCTCCCCTCCACACCCAGCTCAGGTGGCCCGACCCGAACACATTCCTGCTGCGGGCCGAGCCTCCTGTGGGCTGTGATTGACAGCTGCTTTCACTGCAGCAGCTTTAAATGGAGGCAGAGCCTCAGAGCTCCTCAGTCTGACTGAAGCTGCAGCAGAAACCATGACCTCCACCCTGGTGTCCCGCTCCTCCTCACACTCCATCCGCTCCTCCTCCGGAGGATCCGGAGGCTCCATGATGGGCTTCGGTGGCGGCGGCTCCAGGATCTCCTCCATGACGGCCGGCAGCGTGTACGGTGGGGCCGGGGGCTCCGGGGTCCGCATCTCCTCCTCCTCCATGGGTGGAGGTTTCTCCTCCTCCATGGGTGGAGGTTTCTCCTCCTCCATGGGTGGAGGCTACTCCTCCCAGATGAGCTTCGGAGGGTCCGGGATGGACGACGGCCTGGTGGGGAACGAGAAGTTCACCATGCAGAACCTGAACGACCGCCTGGCCWMCTACCTGGAGAAGGTCCRCAAGCTGGAGACGGCCAACGCCGAGCTGGAGCTGAAGATCCGACAGTTTGTGGACAACAAGGTGGGCCCCTCCACCAGGGACTACAGCAGCTTCTTCAGCACCATCAGTGAGATCACAGAGAAGGTAACCATCCTCATCATCATCTTCATCTTTATCTTCCTCATCCTCATCTTCATCTTCATCCTTATACTCATCCTCATCTTCATCCTGAAAGCTGTTGTGATAAACATCAAACAGAAAATAAAATAAAATAAAATATTAAGGACTTGAGCTGCGGTTTGACACTGATAAAATCATTAAATCTCAGTCAGCTTTAAGATGAAGGGTCGGGGGCCACCTGGGGCCACCTGTGGTCACCTGAGAGCGGTGGACTTTCATTGATAACTTCCTGTTTCCAGATCCAGGATGCCATCAAGGTGAACGGAGCCGTCCACCTGAGYATCGACAACGCTCGGCTGGCTGCTGACGACTTCAGGACCAAGTGAGTCCAGCTGACACACCTGTTCACTGATGACATCACTTCCTGTTGTACACATTTAGCTTCCTGTGACGCTGCAGTTTGTATTGTCTGATTACTTCCTGCCAACAAGTTCTACCTGTCCATCACTGTCCCTGTCCCTCCTCCTCTCACCTGTCCTTTAATGTCCCAGTCCCTCCTCCTCTCACCTGTCCTTTAATGTCCCAGTCCCTCAGCTTCTCACCTGTCCACTTCAAACACCTGTTCCTCATCCTCTCACCTGTCCCTTATTGTCCCTGTCCCTTCTCCTCTCACCTGTCCCTTATTGTCCCTGTTCCTCATCCTCTCACCTGTCCATCATTGTCCCAGTCCCTTCTCCTCTCACCTGTCCCTCATTGTCCTAGTCCCTCCTCCTCTCACCTGTCCCTCATTGTCCCAGTCCCTNTCCTCTCACCTGTCCCTCATTGTCCTAGTCCCTCCTCCTCTCACCTGTCCCTCATTGTCCCAGTCCCTTCTCCTCTCACCTGTCCCTCATTGTCCCAGTCCCTCCTCCTCTCACCTGTCCATCATTGTCCCAGTCCCTCCTCCTCTCACCTGTCCATCATTGTCCCAGTCCCTTCTCCTCTCACCTGTCCCTTATTGTCCCAGTCCCTCCTCCTCTCACCTGTCCATCATTGTCCCAGTCCCTCCTCCTCTCACCTGTCCATCATTGTCCCAGTCCCTCCTCCTCTCACCTGTCCCTGGTTGTCCTTCTGCAGGTATGAGAACGAGTTGGGGATGCGTCAGTCGGTGGAGGCTGACATCGCGGGGCTCAGGAGGGTTCTGGATGATCTGACTTTGGCCAAATCGGACCTGGAGATGCAGATCGAAGGTCTGAGGGAGGAGCTTGTCTACCTGAAGAAGAACCACGAGGAGGTGAGGAGGACCTACCTGACCTGTAGGAGGAGCTTCATCAGAACGCTGACAGATCAGAGAAACGATTTCATCTGATGACTTCAGAAGAGCCTGATGAACAGTTTCTGTTTGTTTCTTTGTTTGTTTGTTTGTCTGTTTGTGTGTTTGTTTGTGTGTTTGTGTGTTTGTTTGTTTGTGTGTTTGTGAGCAGGAGCTGGTGGCCATGCGCACTCAGATGAGCGGTCAGGTGAACGTGGAGGTGGACGCTGCTCCGGCTCAGGACCTGAACAAGGTCATGGAGGAGATCAGAGAGCACTACGAAGGGGTCACCGCCAAGAACCGCAGAGACCTGGAGAACTGGTTCCAGACCAAGGTACACTGCTGTGACATCACTTCCTGTTGTCACTTTGTGCGTCCATGTGCACACTGACCCATTGTGTGTGTGTGTGTGTGTGTGTGTGTGTGTGTGTGAGTAGACAGAGACTCTGAACAAAGAGGTGGTGTCTCAGACGGAGACACTACAGACGTCCAAGACCGAAGTGACCGAAGTCAAACGGTCTCTGCAGTCCCTGGAGATCGAGCTGCAGTCCATGCTGGGGATGGTGAGCGTCGCCTACGGCAACACAACACAACACAACACAACACAACACAACACAACAAATAAACAAACACATCATCATTACAAATACAAAACATTTCATTTTTATGAAAAACATTTGTCTGCTGGATGCTTTGATTTATGTAGTTCTGAAAAATTTGGGTTCAGTTTGATGAGGACCACTCTTCTTCTTCTGTGGTTTTTAAGTTTTATTGGAGGTCAACATTCTTCTTCTGTGGTTTTTTTAGTTTTATTGGAGGTCAACCTTTCTTCTTCTGTGGTTTTTTTAGTTTTATTGGAGGTCAACCTTTCTTCTTCTGTGGTTTTTTTAGTTTTATTGGAGGTCAACCTTTCTTCTTCTGTGGTTTTTTAGTTTTATTGGAGGTCAACCTTTCTTCTTCTGTGGTTTTTTAGTTTTATTGGAGGTCAACCTTTCTTCTTCTGGGGTTTTTAAGTTTTATTGGAGGTAAACTCTTCTTCTGTGGTTTTTAAGTTTTATTGGAGGTAAACCTTTCTTCTTCTGTGGTTTTTAAGTTTTATTGGAGGTAAACTCTTCTTCTGTGGTTTTTAAGTTTTATTGGAGGTAAACCTTTCTTCTTCTG